TAAAAACTTTTCCACATTCACTACATATATAGACCGTACTGCCATCGTGATGTGCGATTAGCTTGTGTCTTTTCAGACTTGAATGGGAATTGAGTTGGGCGTTGCATTCATCACAGGGCCATTTGGGTTTCTTATAGCCAGCATGTTCCATCAAATGCAATTTGAGGGCATAAATGCCATGTATGGTCTTGCCGCATTGATCACAAACACGATCGGCTTGATGTACCATACGTTCGTGTATTTTTCGTCGATTTTCCGATGGAAAGCCTTTGCCACATTCGCTGCAAACATAATCACGACCAGCTTCGTGGACTTCCATGTGTGTTCGCAGGATGGTTTTGTTTGCGAACTTTTTATGACACACATCACATTCAAATGGCCTCTGTTTGCCCTCTTCCGTATGCATTTCCCGTTTATGTTTGGCCAAGTTACGACTGTTGGTACTACATCGACCGCATTCGTCACATCTAAAGGCATTCGGATCAATATGCAGGCGTATATGTTCCACAATGTGAAAACGATGATAGAATTTTCGCTGACAACATATAACATAGCATTTTTCTGTTGGATGCATTTGACGAAAATGTTTGCGTAGCAATGTGAAATTTGAGACCGTTGCTGGACAGCATACACATTCCAATTCCTGTTTCCATTGTGCAATGAACTCATCACATTCCTTAGTTTTGTCTTTAACCGACTTTTTGTCGCCATTAGAACCGTCATCAAATGTTTCATCCTCCATTTCATTGGCGGATGCATCGGGATCTAAGCGTTCTGGTTTTTCTTCTAGATTATCAAGATGTTGCAACTTCCTTGGCCTTCCTTTCCGTTTTGCCTTTGTTCCATTTGTTGTTGTAGACGTCGTTGTGTCCTTTTGTTTTTTGTTAGGGCCTCGAGGTTTTCTTTGCCTTTTGCCAGCCACACTTTCTGTGTCATATATCTCAGTATTTTCTTCGTTTAACTCATTTGCCATGTTTTTTCTTTTGTTGATTCTATTAATATGTTCGATAAGTGGTTTTTCATCCTCATCACTTGAAAATGGATTATCATCTCCAAAGCCACAATCATCATATTCGTTTTCAAATTCATCTGTGACAACGTTGGTTTTTTCATCCTTAAGGCTGTCATTGCCATTATCGACAATCGGTGCAGCTTCATCTCGATCCTGCAGCAATTCCTCTTCTAACTTGACCTCTGGTAAATGCTCTTTAACATCGTTCTCCAACTGTGCCTGCAGTATTGCTTGAGCCTGAAGTACAGACTGTTGGAAATCATAGAATTCACTGATGTGACACCAACATTCCATGCAAATAACTTTTGAATCCTGTTCATTAGCCGGGCTTAGCAACTGTAAGAGAATAGAAATAATTAAAATAACAACAATGACCTCTCCCAGCAAGTGTATCCCAAACTTACTATTGGGTCGAAATACTTTAGTGTAATTTCATAGACTTCATTGCCCTGACCATTGTCGTCATACAGGCTTTTGTATTCCGATCGCGAGGATACACATAAGCGACACAAAGTTTTTTCGTACATTTTTTGTTTTTGCTTTATGAATTACATTAAATAAATTAAAAATAAAGAATAACATCAGTATTTATTTTTTCATTACTTATTGGTTCAAAGCAACGATTCCGTGTAATGAACGCACGGAACGTGGTATTTACTGCGAAATGATTACTCGACGTGATAGACAAGAAGATTGGTCGATAAAGACCGAACACAAAACAAAATAGTTGATTTAGTTGATTTACATCTGTGTTTACGAATGAGTGTGATGGATAACGGCAATTGCTTAGAAATGGGGCATTGCAAATATGAGAATCAGTAGTTAAAGGGGATTTTCGTTTCGCGTGACAGAATTTTCCACCTGTCCATGGTAGAAATATTTAAAAACGGTTTAGAAACGCCTAATACAGCCAGTAATAAAACTGAATCATATAATACTTAAATAAAAATATAATAATGAGATATAATAATAGGTCCGTTGGTTTATCAATAATTTCTACAAATTATTACAAAATATTGTTCTTTTACCCAAAAGTCCAGTAAAAGAGAGTGAATAGAGAGAGATAGAGATTTGACAGTTGTTTTACTGACTCAGTAATACTTAGTATTTGCAAATTCTTACAAGGAAAACATGGCATAATTAGACAAGGAAGACAGTTTCATGCAGACATATGATTTCAATTTTAGATATTTGTTTATATACATACATTTTTCATTTTTTTAAAAAATATGCCATTCGACATGCATACAATTTTATGGAATTTATTTTTCAAACAATTTGAAATTGATAGATGAGTTCCAAATTAAAAAGGGTTGCCATTATCAATTTCTCAAATGAGACTACCTTCTGTAATTATGCCATGCAAGGAAAATTTACTCAGCAAGAATTTTCTTGTACCATCAGCAGATAGGGGAGACTGGGGCACCTTCGGCATCGGTTCACCTTCGGCAATCGCGTTTTCGATATGAAGCTCTCACCGTACATCACTAGCAAGATCTATTAATAAGGTCACCAAGATGGCAATCGAAATCGGAAAACAGCTGTTTTTTCTCAAGTCTAATGTCAAAAATTTCGACTTTGTTTACGTTTTCATAATGGAAGTCAATTCACAATAATGCATTTTGACAGCAAACTTGAGAGGTATCGATAATCAGCTGGTCTCCCTTGGTGACCTTATTTATAGGCCATGATCACTAGTTTCGATACATAGGTATCGAATATCGAAATAAATAACTGACACAAAGTTTGAAATTTCTAGCTAATAAGCTTATTTAGATGGTATTTTTATAGATTTTTCTGTAATATTTCAATTCCATTTCGTAAGTATTTCGTGTATAAAACTTTTTAAATTTTTAAGACATTATTATTAAAAAGTGGTTAACTACGATGTGTATTATTATAGAAATATTTAAAAATATAATGTTTTTACAAAACTGATCGAAAAAATGAAAAAAAAAAACTATAAAAAGTACATTCGGGGTACGTTCGGCATTTTAAAGTGGGGCACATTCGGCCATATACAGATTGTGCAATATTATTTCCTTAAAATGTTTTTGAGTTTGTCTTTAAAACTAATTCTTTAATATGGTTCGAAATTGCATTTATAAGATCAAACGTGCTTGTATTGATGAAAATGCGATAGAAAACCCCTATTTCTGATGGTATGTGCGACCTTGAGATGTAAATGTCCGCCGCTAGAAAATAAAGTCCTATAATTCAAACATTGTGTGGCGTATTAAAACCAAATAGAGCCATTAGAGGATCAGAATTTCAACCAGACTGATACCGATGACAATTACCCGGCTATGACAATGGTGCCGAATGTGCCCCATCAAATGCCGAAGCTACCCCGGGTTGGGGCACATTCGGCGAATTTGACTTTTTTTACAAAACTGTAAAATTTTTTAACTAATACTATTTTTTATATCTTTTTGATACTATTTTTTTATAATTAAGTGTCAGAAGACAATAATCAGCCATAAAGTTGTTATATATGTTGAATAAGTACTGAGATATAGAGCTCTTAAAAAAAGTGCCGAAGGTGCCCCAGTCTCCCCTATCAGCTGTTTTGTTTTGGGTATTTTGATTTTGTATCATTAACAAGAAAATGCAATTATTTATAAACATAATCATTTTTCCGCTTGTTATCCATTTTTGTTTGCAGTTTTAAACAGCTGTGTCGACACAATCTTTTTACTGGATGTTGTTCGTTCACTTTTTGTAGTTTTCTCTCTTGAGAACGAAAAATTAGTATTAATTCTACAAATTTTTACTGAGTAAATGTTACTGGGAAATTATAAGAGGAAACCTAATTTTATAATGACGATCAAGAGATTTCATATGTCAAGACCTGATTATGGATAACACATATCAAAAGAAAAATAAGTCTTGATTTAGATTAGACGAGTTTACTTGCGGCAATTCTTGTCGTTCTCTTTTGAACTTGCTTCATGCGTTTATACAAGGCAATTCGGTTTCCAAAATATTTTTCTATTTGTTGTTTTTCACATTTAAAACTATATAAAATGTCAACAAATACGAAATACACAAAACGAATTGCCAGAAAATTGTCGGTACGAGCAATTTTTTTTTTTCATTTCTGTTCCCCTTGCCCCTCTCTCCTACAAACAAAGACTTGCCGCAAGTAAACTCGCCTAATCTAAATCAAGACTAAAAAAATCCAAATTCTTTTAAAGTTATGAGCTTTCCAATATAGAGAGGACGGTAACTTTGTGTACCGTACTAATTTGTTTATACAGTCCAAATTATTTAAATCGCTTCGTACTCAAATTGTACAAACTCTGCCATCAGAATTATTTTTTATTCTTGTAAAAATGAATATAGAGGATAATTTAACATGATTTTTCTGTCGATTTTGCATTTGGTTTTCTTGATATTGAACTTAAATTTTTCGAAAGAATGTACTGTATCTCCCGAATGCAAGGATGTAGCGATTTGATCTAAGATTGCGGAAAAAATTCGGGGCTCAAAGGTTAAAATTAGTACCAATGCATTGTCGTTTCGAAATTTTTAGTTAAGAAGTTTCCGTATGCACAGACTGAGCAAATGTTATAGCAGGCAAATTTACATTGTATACCTTCACATCAATCCTCATTTCCAAATTTTAGCTGCACCTTGTTGTATTTATAAAATAGTATATACGTTTTCATTACGATGCTGTTGTGAAAACGTTTCATTTTATAGTAGTCTATTACTTTCTAACCATTAAAAACTGCATACTATTATACTTTAGGATTATAATATCTTTCTAAGATATAGTCATTAAGATTTTATTATTATATGGAGTAGTATGGTTTGCAATTTAATTAAAATCGGCCTTTAAGGCTTAAATTGACATTTTTTTGAAATAAATAAATAAACTCGAAAACAAATTCAATTAATAGAAGATTTTTACTGGTTTTACTGGAAGAAAGCAATAACATTTTGTTTTATATATGCTATTTTATTACTTTATCTACACAGATATACTAGTCTAGATTGTTACAAAGTATACAGGTACATATTTAAATTTGAAATATATACGTACTTTAGGTTCATCATTAGAAATAATTAAGTTACGTTGTACAATCAGTTATTAAAGTTATACAAAAAGTGAAATTCTACATAAAAACTAATATAACAAATTTTGTCTATATAAATTAAATAATTCTCTATATAATTAAAATTAAATTAATGTAATGTAGCCATTAATCTCGATTCGTAATAACGGCTGTAATTCACATAACAATTTCTGTTTGTATAAGGCTTACGTTGAGTTTATTTTTAACAGGCTTATTCTTGCGAGTTTTATCAAATTCTTCAGGATGTGCTTTTTTACGATGATTATGTAGATTGGAACTCATTCGATATGTTTTTGGACAATGTGGACATTGATATAGATTAATGCCTTTATGCGATGCCATGTGTTCTCTTAAACCTTTGGGAAATTTAAATGATTTTTCACACATGCTGCATTTATGTTTACGCTCAAGTGTATGAACTAATCGCTTATGACTATATAAAGCACTTTCAGATGGATAACGTTTACCACAATCGGCGCATTTATATACAGTGGTGCCATCATGATGTTTTATTTGTTTATGACGCTTTAAACTTGAATGGGAATAAAGTTGCACATCACATTGATCACACGGCCATTTAGGTTTCTCTACACCTTGATGTTCCAATAGATGTTTTTTGAGGGCATATATACCGTGTATGACCTTACCACATTGATCACAAACCCTATCGACATCATGCACCAGATTTTCATGTACTTTCCTACGTTGTTCCGTTGAAAATCCTTTGCCACATTTACTACATGCAAACAGATATTCCGTTTTATGTATATCCTTGTGTGTACGCAACTTGGTTTGATTTTTGAAGCGTCTTTGGCAGATGTCGCATTCAAATGGACGAATTTGTCCCTCTTTCGTATGTAAGTCCTTCATATGTTTGGCTAAGTTGCGTCTATTCGTGCTACACTTGCCACAAACGTTACATTGAAATGTATTGGGATCAAGATGAAGTTGTATGTGTTCATAAATGTCACATCGTTTGGAAAATTTAAGCTCGCAACAGGTAATGTAGCATTTCTGATCGGGGTGGTGTATTCGGAAGTGTGTCCGAAGTAAACCGAAAGTCGTTGTCTTAATGGAGCATACTACGCATTCCAGTGATGGCTTCCATTGGGCAATAATTTCATCTGTGTTTAAAGGTTCCTTTAGCTGTACGTCTTTTGAGGTTGGGGTTTTAATATTCTTTCTTATATTTGTAATATTCTCTTTTGCGCTTGATAAGTCTAATTGCAGTGATTTGTCATCTTCATCAAGTTCAATGCTAGATTCTATTTCAAAATCAGAATAATCCGAATTTTCGTTGCTGCTTACTCCATTCTGCACTTCAGTATTTAGATTTTCCAAATGACATGTTTCCAAACTATTTTCAACGTCAACGCTTAAAGCTTCCTTTGCAATCTCCCTTAAACTTTCCTGTAAATCTTGATGGGCATTTTGTATGACCTTTTGAAATTCATAGAAGTCGTCTATTGTATTCCAACATTTAAGACAAACTACATTGGAATCTTTGTCGTCTTCAGCGTTGAGCAACTGGACGTAAATAAACCCAAATTCAATTTATTATAAGATATGTATTTTATTTTACATGTCTGAAATACTCACCACTGGATCAAAGTATTTGAATGTTATTTCATAGTAAGCAGTTGCCTCCCCCTGCTCATTGAACAAATCTTTATATGATGAACATAAACTAACACATAGACAACAAAATTTTCTTTCCGACATATTTTTAAACAATATTTTTTAAATTAATTGACCTTTCTTATGGACTACGGGTTTTGGTTGGGATTTTATTGTAAAAAATAAGAAAACTAGGTTGAGCAAAGATGACAAATGCGCATGATTAGTATTACATTGATGGGGTGGGTATTTTATTGTAAAATGCAAACAAATAATGCTAAACATCAGAATGTAGGTCAAAAATAAACACAACTTACGTTCACCTACTTTGACTTTACTATAAACTATCAAGTATCCAGTAGTGGACTTCGGTAGCAAGTTTACCACAAAATGCCGGAAATTTTTTATAATTCCAGTAATTAAAAATTAAATTAAAATAATTTGGTAGTTCCATGAAATTATATTTTTAAATATCGTTGTTTTTTGTATTTTGGATTCTTATATTTTTGATAAATGAATGTATTACAAAAATAAATTAAAACATTTTTCCATCTAATTGGCAAGTGGAAGTTAAACATCAGATTCAAGATTTGAGAAGCTTTATCAGCAATTATGTACTAAAATAACCCATAATTGCAAACGAAACCACCGATGTATCTATAATTTGGGATAATGAGGGGACAGGAAAAATCTCCAAAACCTTACGGGGCGACCCAAGCGAAAACAAAACTATGAAACTCCTAACGCTAAACGCATTTCTATAGGACATTTCACATTTCCGCATTTCTATAGCACATTTCACATTTCCGCATTTCTATAGCGCACAACAGACCTCAAACGGCCTATGTGTATGTCCTTCTCATGTTGGACATGTGGTGGTATCATCCACCCCTCGGCTTAAATGCACTTTACGGACACCTCTCAGATCATTTTGAAATTTTTATCATAGGTAGCCCTTCTGATGCTGATTACAGCAACATACATTTTTTCGGGGGAAATCAGTACTTCCCGAGATATGGGGTTCCAAAGTTCAAAAAATACTCCACTTTTTATTAAACATATTTAAGAATACCACTCCGAAACGTATAATTTTTTACAGCACATAGTCCTTTTGGAGCTAATTAGAACCACATAATTTTTTTTGGGAAACTTCGTACTTCCGAAAATATGGGGTTCAAAATTTTAAAAATAAGCTTATATGGTTATTTCTTTGATTTAAGGATTTTTTTCTTTAGGGACACTCCGATTGTTCTGGATCAGCAGAGGTATGTATAATTTACATGATTACATAAATATGTTACTATATGGGAGGAAGTCCATACTTCTTGAGAAATGGGGTTTGGAAAAAATAGGCTGGGGCCGGGGATTTAGTAATAAAAAAATTAAATTAAAAGAGAATTCTGCTCGCGTAGCCCAATTTTCCATCTGTCCATAGGAGAAAGTCTTAAATCCCCGGCCGAAGGCCGGCTATTCAGAAAAAATTGAAATTAAAAGAGAATGCTGCTCGCGTAGCCCAAATTTCCACCTGTCCATAGAAGAAAGTTTTAAATCCCCGGCCAAAGGCCGGCTATTCAGAAAAAAATTAAATTTAAAGAAAATTTTGTTCTCATAACTCAATTTGTTGTCGGATAATAAGTAAGGGTATAAAATGTAGGTTTTTATTACATTTTGATACCCCATATTTCCGGAAGTACGAAGTTCCCCCCCAAAAAAATTATGTGGTTGTAATCAGCTCCATAAGGACTATGTCCTGTAAAAAATTTAAACGTTTCGGAGTGGCATTCTTAAATATATTTAATAAAAAGTGGGGGTATTTTTGAACTTTGGAACCCCATATCTCGGGAAGTACTGATTTCCCCCCGAAAAAATGTATGTTGCTGTAATCAGCATCAGAAGGGCTATGGTAAAAATTTCAAAATTATCTGAGAGGTGTCCGTAAAGTGCATTTGTTCCCACCCCTCTTTTCAATCCAATCCAACCCCCAAGCACTACTTTTAGAACCTATTCGGTATTATGATCGACAAAATTTCCTTATCTGAACACCAATGATCGTGCGATTTATACCAATAAAAAACTCATAAATTTTACAAAATAATTTTGTAGATTTTTATTTTAAGAAAATAATATTTAATAAAATATTAGTCTACAAATTAGTTTTCACCGACAGTACGGATAATATCGGAATCTCCAGGATCGGTGATGGACATGGTGCACACACGGAAGTATTTACCGCAGGCGGTACCCAAATCAATATTGGTACCACTGTAGTGTTGAACTTCAGTCTTGGCCAACATGGCGTAGTATTCAATTTCAGATTTTCTACAATATAGAAACAAATAATTTTCATTAGTTTCAAAACAAAGCCAGTTTTTTTTTGCAAAGAAAAAACTTTTCTGTTTTCATCAGAAAGAGTCTCTAGTAAAATATGTTTCAACATAACATTGTCTGCATAATACATTCATCATAAAAAAATAATTTTTCAGTCTTGGTTTGGACCTCTTACTACCAAAAAAACTTACTTGTATACAATACATGCAGCAGGAACCCGATGAAGTCTTGTTACACACACGCACACATGGAAGATTCTCATATCCATTTTTTGCGAGTAGTATTTTTGATCATAAATCAGCACATGCATTAAGAGAGTGCCGCAGCAACAACAATATTCAAATGCATTTGCTTATTGAGGAATCATACTTCTCAGTCTCGCAAGACTCCATATGGTTCCCGCAGCACAATTGCACTTAGGTAAGTGATTTGATTTTGTTCCAAGTTTTAATTAAAACATCGTCCATTATACCCCGATTCTCACCTCAAGGCAGGAGTGTTGGTGGCAATGAGCACCAATTTGGCTTTGCCTTGACGCAAAGTCTTCAAGGTTTGTTTGTAACCCAAGCAGAATTTGCCAGATTTCATCACCAAAGCCAATTTGGAATTGATGGAATCCAAAGCCTTTTTCTGTAATCATAAAGAGGAAAAAAATACAGGTTAGTGCTGAACTAAATAGGAAAAACACGTGTAAAAATAACTTACAGTCTTCTTGACGGCAACCATGTTGATTAGCTTTTATTTGTTTTGAATTGATTTAAAATCAATGACAGTTCTAAAAAGATAAAGAATGACTTCATTATTTCGAACTTATAAAACAAAAAAAAAATTATTTATGAATATTCTGTGTTGGAAAAAGCACCCACCTCCAACGACGGATACTGGGAAAAGAAAGAAATAGTGGTCTCGGCAGCGGAAGTATAAAATTTTGACATTTCCATACCCAGACTTGATATTCACTTGACAGTTCATTCGGTTTTGTTTAATCGGGGGCGCAACGTACGTTGTACGACTTGTATGGCGTATATACGTTTCGTATTTATACGTTCAAATGCTATGCTATGTATTAAAAAAACGATTAATTTTAATTGTATTTTCTTTTAATTTGCTTAGATATATATAATGATTTAAATAAAAACATATTTAATTTATTATCAATACAAAAAAAGCTTACTAAACCTATTAGGGGAGACTGGGACACCTTCGGCATCGGGGCACCTTCGGCAATCGGGTTTTCGATATGAAGCTCTCACCGTACATCACTAGTTTCGATACATAGGTATCGTATATCGAAATAAATAACTGACACAAAGTTTGAAATTTCTACCTAATAAACTTATTTAGATATATGCGTTTTTGTATTTTTATAGATGTTTCTGTAATATTTCAATTCCATTTCGTAAGTATTTCGTGTATAAAACTTGTTAAATATTTAAGACAATATTATTAAAAAGTGGTTAACTACGATGTGTATTATTATAGAAATATTTAAAAATATAATGTTTTTACAAAACTGATCCAAAAAATGAAAAAAACTATAAAAAGTACATTCGGGGTACATTCGGCATTTTAAAGTGGGGCACATTCGGCCATATACAGATTGTGCAATATTATTTCCTTAAAATATTTTTGAGTTTGTCTTTAAAACTAATCCTTTAATGTGGCTCGAAATTGCATATATAAGATCAAACGTACTTGTATTGACGAAAATGCCATAGAAACCCCCTATTTCTGATGGTGTGTGCGACCTTGAGATGTAAACGTCCGCCGCTACAAAATAAGGTCCTATAATTCAAACATTGTGTGACGTATTAAACCCGAATAGAGCCTTTAGAGGATCAGAATTTAAACCAGACTGATAGCGATGACAATTACCCGGCAATGACTATGGTGCCGAATGTGCCCCATCAAATGCCGAAGCTACCCCGGGTTGGGGCACATTCGGCAAATTTGACTTTTTTTACAAAAATGTAAAATTTTTTAACTAATACTAGTTTTTTATATATTTTTGGTACTATTTTTTAAAATTAAGTGTCCGAAGACAATAATCAGCCATAAAGTTGTTATATATGTTGAATAAGTACTGAGATATAGAGCTCTAAAAAAAAGTGCCGAAGGTGCCCCAGTCTCCCCTATACATCTATTGTTAGATAATCGCTACGTGTTTAAATAATAATGGCGTACCGATTTGGGTCTATCATATATAATAGGTTCGTTCGTTTACTTTCCCAGTAATATTTACTCAGTAAGAATTTGCAGAGAGTAAATACGAATTTTTCCTTTTCAAGAGAGAAAACTGCAAAAAGTAAACGAACAACATCCAGTAAAAAGATTGTTTCGACACAGCTGATTAAAACAACAAAAAAATTGGCGCAAACATTCCAGACATGTTAGGGATGCACGCTTTTTTGTTTGGATTTGGAACCTAAAAAATCGTTCGCCAATTACTCTTGTATTACCTTATTTTTAAATACTTGCTTTTTCTTCATCTATTTTTGTATTTAATGATACAAAATCAAAATAAAATTCACAAAACAATCAATTTTCTTGAGAACAATTTTTTGTTTGTTTACAAAACATAACAAAACAGCTGATTAAATATCAGCTGATGGTACAAGAAAATTCTTACTGAGTAAATTTTCCTTGTAAGAATTTGCAAATACTCAGTAACACAACTGTCAAATCTGCTCTCTCAATTCACTCTCTTTTACTGGGATTTTGGGTAAACGAACAACATTTTGTAATAATTTGTACAAATTCGTACAAATTATTGAGTAAACGAACGAACCTAATATTTCTTCATTTAGGTTTGTTTCTGTCAAAACAAAATATATATTTTGTATGTGTGTGTCAAATAAATCCAAATTAAATTTAAAAATATTAAAATTTAATTGAATTCAAACGATTTTTTACCGCATTAGACTGGATGAAACGAACATTTCAATGCTGAATTTTGTGAGTAAATTATAACCCTTCATTCATTTTCGCCTTTTTACATGGTATAATAATAGAAGGTAACAGCAAGTGTTGTTGTACAAAAAACAATACAACAACCACATGGAAATTTGTTGTTGTAAGTTCTACTAGTGTCAACTCATTTGACAGAAAAATGTAAACAAACAAACAAATTATCAAATTATTTTTATTTTGAAAATGAAATATTTTCGAATCCTCAAAATAAAAATTGAAAAACATGAATGAAAATATATCAAATATATATTTCTATCGCTTCCACATCTTTCCTATAATTGAGCCATTGCCATATATATGTGTAACACATATGAAAATGCTGGGAATAGCGAGTTATTCCTTGAAGAAAGATTTGCTTCCTTAAACTTTCCCAGCAGGCAGATTGAGTAAATTGAATACAGGAGCACATTTAATAAAGAACAATTTCAAATTGTATGCGTTCCCAATTTTCCTGTTGGTTGTTTTTTTAAAAGCATAATTTGTCAAATTCATATTGACACTAGTATTGCGTTGGAATCAAATCAGCTGGGATTTGCTGTTACCTTTTATAATTGTACCATGGCCTTTTTAGTTATGTGTTTAAAAAAGTTCGAAAAAACACAGCAACCTGTTTTTTATATTTGACGGAGGAACCCACTATTCACCTGAAGTAAACATACATTGTATTGTTGTATTTATACGAAAAATGTTCATGTCGTACCGATCTGAGTCTAGAATATCTTTCCCCATTTAGGGGCCGTACAAGTATTACGTTCAAGTATTGCAATTATTAATCCCCCTTACCGCTTGTCATCAAAATATACAACCCAAAATAAGCAAAATCGATCAAAGTCCTGATTTAGATTAGGCGAGTTTACTTGCGGAAATTTTTATCGTTCCCTTTTGAAATTGCTTCATGCGTCTATACAAGTCAAATTTCAAAACTATTTTTTTTATATATATATTTTGTACATGTTTTTTTATGTTCGAAAATGTTCTGGATTGGTATTTCAAATTACTGACACTACAAACAAAATACACAAAACGAATTGCCAGACAATTGTCGGTAACTTTGCAATCTAAATTACAGTAGTTTGAGGATTTTATACTCTACCATGCGTTATCAGTATCAGCCACTTTTTGGATCTTACAGATTTTAAGAAAAATCATGGTGGAGGGCATACGAATATACTTGACTATATTTCTTGAAACAAATAAATTAGGACATTCCATCCCAAGAAGTATCATCTGGTTCTCTTTAATGCATAAAATATAGAATAAAAAGTAATATGTTAATTGAGCAAAAACTCTGACCAAAATGGTTAAAAATGCAAGAAACAACTTGCGGTCGTAGTGAATATTTTAGCCTACATTGCAAATATTTATTATTACCATTATAGTATTGTTCCCCGTCCATTTGAATTTCAATTAATTAATATGTGCCAAACAACAAATACTTACAGTCCATATACACATAGATATTTATGCATACACATATGCACCCAACCACAAAACAAAGAAATATACACCGAAAGAGTTATCTTATTAAACTACCATTTAATACCTTCATTGTCTAAAGCCTTTAGTAAATCTTTAATATTTCGATAACCATGAGTTGGTTGAGTTTTTTCGAGATCTTCTTCGTTGGATGTAATAAGAATGCTGCTCCAGCCAGCATTACGGGCCCCTTCATAATCCATAGCATACATATTTCCTATATGTAGTGCTTCATTTGACTGTACATTGCACTTTTTTAAGCAGGCGTCATAAATCTCTTTGTGAGGTTTTTCAAAACCCACATCATATGACGTGAGTATAAAATCAAATTTATCAGCTAATTTTACTTCTTCCAGAACTTGCCTGAGACTGGGATCAAAGTTTGATATCACACCAATTTTCTTGCCACTATTTCGTACCTTATCAACTAATTCAACTCCACCATCCATGTGGCAATAACATTCCTTGGTACGATAGATACGTACTAAAGTTTCCGCTACCTCTTGTAGTTTCTTAGGATCAATGTCGGGTTTTACACAAAGGAAAATATTTTTTACAAGCGATGTCCACCATTCCTGCCAGGTAAAGTTCGGTGTGTGGTAACCCCAGTTGGGATGTTGTTTCTTCATTGCTTTGAATTCCTTTTTGAAACATGCCTCCAATGTACTTTGATCGATGTCAGTGACACCAAGTTGGGCAGCGGTTTTGGCATATTGTATTGCAGGTGGTTTACTAAAACGTACTAATGTATCGGTTATATCAAATGTCACCAACCGGAAGCGTTTTAAATTGTTTATTAGTCGTGTATTGGACATTATTTGCCGTATTATGAAATCCGTTTCTTCTTCATATGTTTGATGGTCAATTGACCCAATTAGTTTGTGTTTGTGGTGTTTTGTTTACTTTTGTTTTTGTGGACAACGTAACTGTGGCCGTTTTTACATAGTTTACTCATATGTGTGTGGTTTGTATACAAACAGCTGATGGGGTGTAGTACCGCAATTGACTTTTTGTTTACCAACACAATAGGTGTGCTTGTTAATTAAATATTCAGATGCTATTATTAAAGTAATCATCTTTTAAGGAAGACCATACAAATAGAGTACACAAATTTACCAATCCGTCAATACTACTGCTGCTATCATCCATCCACCACTGATCAATGGATGCAGAAGAGATTCCTTGTAAAAAATCCAAGTCTAGCAATGGAACTATACCACCAACTAAGGATGATGAGCCATCTGACGATAAGGACAATAAAACAAACGATGTGAATAATACCAACACCACCGCATCAGATGCACCCTCACCAATCACAGCTCCAACAGTGAAACAACGACCGAAAATCACATGTAAAAATCCCAAATATAGTTACATTGAAACTGGTGGTAAGAAGTTTGTTTGGAAATCCCTAAAACAAATAGTTACCCAAGAGAGAGCATTACCATGGCCGGAAGATG